AAACGGGGGAAATCGTATGTCCGATATGGCCTGTAATGAGCTTGTCTGCAAGTATGTAGGTCAAAACAGCTGGTCCATGTCAGTCAGAATATCAGAGCTCAGAAGTTTAGCAAAGCATACAATGGTAGACCTTACTAAGATAATTAACTTAAAGAAGAACATGGCTATCGCTCTGCACACGCTGACCGATAGTCACACTATCTGGTGGGATAGGGTGACAATTCTAAAATCCAGTATAGCTAGATGGAGGCACAGATTAATCATAGCTTAACACATGTAACAGGAATGAATACTCATATATTGCAGGTCATAATGACCAGATCATTTGTATTGTATGAATATAGATCTTTGATAAGATTTAAAGTGGTATAGTGGTTATCATTTGAAAATCAGTTAGAATCCACTTATCTTTCAAGGGATTAAAACTGTTTTTACTTCTCTCCAATTTGCTTGTCTTGTAGGGGTAACCATGGGGATGTGCTAAGGACAAGCTTCCGCTTTCGGTTACTTTCATATGTGTCTACAAACTTACATACTTATATGGAGACAAAGCGTCCCGTTTCCGAATATAACTTTAAACATTATCCTTCATGGTTGACAAAAGGAAAATGAAAATGAATTATCTGTTCAGTTCTTGAGCATTTAGTAAACTCTAAGCACATAGCTTTATAAGAGTTCTCCTGCAATAAAACCTATAGAGTCACAGGTAACAGATCAAAAGAAGGCCGCTTTTGGCAGCTGTGCATAGCAGAAGTATACACAATTCACTAATTCAAGTCTGAACTCCGAGTGCAGAAGAAGTCTGTCCAGTCACTTATCTTGCTGTTACTTTAAACCTTCCTCATTTCTTTTCTTTTTTTCGATTCCATTATAAACAATCAGTTTATTATTATTACCTCCATTACAGTCATCATTTCTTTGTTAACCTTAACATCTGTCAAGTGGATACTCAAGCATCATATATCTCACCTACCAAGAACTTTTACTTCATAAAACTCATTACATTTGCAGTGATTTGCATTTTTTTTTATAGATTGTGACATAACTCCTTTCCACTCTTTATTTTAGTTTTAGCACCCTTTTAATGCTGCAACTATACCCTGAAAACCAGTGTACAAGTTTAAAAAGTGAAATCTTTGAGAAAGAGAATTTTCCTCGTCAAATAATTGCTTCTGTTCTTTATAGCTAAGTAGACATCTCTCATGGTATATCTGAATACTTAGATGATGTCCAAGGTCAATAAAACAATACTTAAAAATATATACAACATTTGAACATGCTTCACCTCTCTATCAAGGTTGTCTTAATTATTGCATCAAGCCTGGTGATGAGAAGTTCAAGACAAAATATCAAAGCTTAGAGAGGACTGAATCAAAGTCATCCTCATCCTGATTTTTGAATCTTTTCTATATCTCTTAACTCTGTGATCTTGGCTAAAAATTCAAGCCAGGTGGATGTCATATATAGTCTTCTAAAACTGTAATGCTAATTTCTTCTTAGAACTTTCAAAAACCGAGCCCTATTTCAGATCTCAATAGCCAAAACTGTGGTATTTCAAATCATGGATGTTAATCAATTCAACGTCATCTAGTCAATGTAATAAATCTGTGAACTTCACCTTACCTTCATTTGGGTATTACTGCTACTTTCGGAGAATTCTCTAGAACTAAGATCATAGATCAATTTGAGCGCACATATGTATGAACTTGAATCGGTGCAAGAAACAAGTTGCTGTAAAAAATCTTTGTACTTCGTTGGCATATGAAAGCCGATTATTTGAAAGGATATCAAGCATTTCAGAGTAGTCTCTATCGTGTCCAATATCAGTCAGAAAACTATTAAAAATGTAGAAATACTGTTTCTTCCAAGTTTGTAATCCATTAGTAGTGCGTATTCATGTGTGACTGAACCCAAAATCTTCTTCTGCACCAGACCTCATGACTCCGGGTGTCATTCACATTGGGTTTCAGTATACCCTCCTGATTAGTTGCAAGTTTTCAGGAGTTCTGCGGTAGACATTCACATATGATGAAAAATCCTATAAAACCAATCATTTCCTGTCGAATTTCCTGAGCATTTGTTTCAAGATAGTAGTAATTATTATACCCCTCTAGCTTGCTTTAGGAATAAAAGTAAAAGTAGTCAGTGATATGAGATCATTGGCTAATGGAAGCCCATAGATCTCTATAGCATAATAAGACTGATTGATGTAGAGAAACTCATTCTCACTGGCTCCAATTTCAAGATGGAACAACAACAGTCTGCGTATAAAATAACTCACGGTTTTCGTAATGATTGCTAGCAGTGATAGGTAGAAAAGCAAAAGAGCTGGAAGAATACGATTGTGGGGAGTTATTTAGGCGGATCGAATAGACTGCTGAATAAAACATGAAGTCTGTTCTTATCAAGAATTTTACCTTTTCTCTGTTAAAATCGTATATAAACTTAACCAGTGGTTTCGTTTCCATAACTTTTGAGATGAATGGGGATCTTTTTATTTTAGGAGTAGTATTCATCATAGGCTGACATCGTTTGGGGAACCATTGAAAATCTGGGAGCACTGGACAGCTGTTTCGTCTCAGTATGGGACTCCTCAGGCGTACGTACCCACAACTCGGCTAGGAATAGAACCCAGGACCTTTGGGTTTCTGTCGTGAATTGACAGAAGTTGAGGACTGTGAACCACTGGAAACCGACCCAGTGGCTGAATGGTTAACACGTCCGCCACGAGACCTGAAGGTCCTGAGTTCGATTCCTGGTCGGGTCGTGGGTGCGTACTGCTTAGGAGTCCTATACTAGTTGGACGAAACAGCTGTCCAGTGCTCCCAGATTTTCAATGCTTCCCCAACTGATTTCAGTTCATGATGAATACTACTTCTAAAATAACTTATTTGTTTCTTTACTGCACTGATCCCATACAAATTCTTATTCTAATCTATACAAATGATTCATATTATCATAACTCATGCAATTATCAGTTCCTTAGTGTCCATCGAAAACTATTTGTCTAGTTTCCTATGTGACAGCTAAGCGAAGTGACACGATATTGTAGCTTACTCTGACCAATATTACATGTCAGCGCGTAGGGAACTTTCAACCTAGCTTTAGTACCTATCTGGACTGATCAATAAAGTGCATCTGCAAACTGAAAGAAAATCATCTTGCCTCAGTGATTTAAGATTTGTCACCCTTTATATTGAAGTCAGAAACTTTACTAGTGAGGTATCCAAAATAAGTGACCCCTTGTATCACATATAATCGAATGTTTAAACTGAATTTGCCATTGAACATGATAAGCAACCTTATGTATTAAGATAACGATTTCAAACAAAGTCTAACTTCAGATAATAAAGCCTTTCTGATCACTGAGTGTTATAAATTGATAAACATCACTAGGAATTATTCAACGAAAACGAAGCTATGTTTGTTAGTTGGATGCAGGAAATCCTCAACTTAGGTCTCACTCCTACCTGTTGGCATTTTCCAACATCAAGGGATATCGCGTCTTAGATTCAACCCCCACCTTACCTAATGCTACAGTCAGAGACATTACCACTAAGCTATTTGGTTCACAAAGCTGGATAATAATACAGGTTCATCTCATTTTCCACTTTTATTAGAGCATTGTTTAGATTAACATAAAAGGTTAGGTTCAATTTATGTTTATGAACTAGTAGTAGCATTTACAAAGCGTAAAATTCCTAAAATCTTTATGAAAGCCATATACTACTAGTGAAGATGGCAATCTATTCTGTTATTTTGATGCTTAGTAGTATCATCACACCGTTTTTCTTCACTGACACATATTTTAATTATTGATTGGAAAAGCAAGACAGACGTTCATTAGCCTGAAACTAGTGTGAAGATCTACTGCACTCAGCACGAAGAACAACATCCGAATTTTCAACACTAACGTCAGTCAAGTCAGTGCTTCTGTATGGCTCAGAGACTTGGTGCGTTACGATAGGGATTTCCAACAAACTACAGACTTTCATCAGCAACTACTTACGCTGGCTCATTACTGAAGATGAGATGGCCAAAAAGAACAAGGAACTCTAGCCTCGCAATGAACCAACCAAGAACCTATCACTCAACAAATATGCAGAATGAGGAAGTGGAGATGGATTGGGCATACACTGAAAAGGCCGACTGGGAACATCGCGCGTCAGGCCAGTTGCTCGAGTGGAACCCAGATGGGAAGCGACGAGTTGGGCGTTGGAGGTGAGAGTGATATAGAGGAGATCGTGCGAGGAGGAAATGAGAGGTTGTGAGTTGTCGTTGAGGCAAGTTGAAAAGATTTCAGGTACAGAGTGGAATGGAGACGTGCTATTGAAGCCCTGTGTTCCAATAGGAACCCAAGGGACAAATAACATTTTCTTTTTCAAACCAAATTTTATTAGTTATACTTTCATAGTGCAAGTTAGATCTATTACCAAAATAACTATGATAGTCTTTCAGTATTCTTTTCTCTACATATATTAGTTTTTTAAAAGGCAAATATTTATGATGAACTGGCATCTTTTCCCCTATCCCATAGACCAATCATTTTTCACCTTCAACAAGTATACAAATCGAATAAGAAAGGTAGTTCATTCTTGATACTTTTTCTCTGTGTTATTGATTTTGTGTTCTAGTAGATGAAAGAAAGGTTATTAGATTTTTCTTATCTACTATAATGTACATACACTAGTAAACTGTTGTTCAACTACATTCATGCCTATAGTTTAGATAATATTCACCTAAAAATAGATAGTTGTGTGTATATATGCACATATGGTTCCATAACACGAGAAGAATCCTATTGGTTAGTATCTTAAAATGTGGAATTTTATCGATTTCTAAGTAACTTAATATAAGCTTTACACTGATATGTTATATTAAAACGCCCACGTCCCAATAATTTTACTATATATATGTATATATTTAATATTAAAAACAGTTTAGTAAATTTTCATTTCATTTACCTTCAATTTTGATCAGTAGTCGTTTGATAAATCAACATGGGAGAGGAAGTAAGTCTAGATGATAAAAATGACTTTTTCATTTTAATGATTTCTAGTTTCTAATAGGTAGTATCTTCAATTCAGTACTGTTTTCTACTGTTTTGTACTCATTTTACAATACTTTTTGATCAGAATACATGTAATCTCACCTATGGATTTTTATTTGTAAGACTGATAAAAGATTTTCTCTTACTAGTTAATATTAGGTCAGACGTGTAAAATATTCCGTATAACTAACTAATTATTGAGTACCGCTTGTTTAACCTGTTGACAGTAACCTAAAATCTCACTGCCAGTATCCAGCATACTGTTATATGAACTTAATATAGCATTCTAGGTTTTAAAATACCCTCAAAATCACTCACTTTATATATTATTTGAAAAGAATATTGACCACTAATGTTAGTCGCTCTGCATAAAGTTTACACAGCAAACATATCAGATACCAGCAGTGCAAAAGTCTAATCGAATACTTAGTAACTAAATGATCACTATTCCATTGAAAAACATAACAGTTTACTGACTGAAGCTTCTCAAAGTATTTTACTGAATTCATAGTCTCTATTAAGAATTATTTGTGTGAAGTTACCTTGTGTTCTTTCTCTTGGTATATATATATATATATATATATATATATATATATAGTACCTAGTGTGCGTTTGTGGAATGTTTGACGAGGTAATTTTGATAAAACAAAATTATTATTTTTAGCGACTGAAGAACCTTAATTTAAAAATGTAATCGTCTAACGAGTCAATTTAATTTAATGTTTTATATTTTTAAAACTATTCAAGATCAAAATTTAACCTGATACATTTGAATAAATTGAGCACTATATTTACAAAATCATAGTGATGTAGAATAATGAAAATTTTGATGTTTCATGACTTTATGGAAATCATTTCTTCTGAAGAACCAATTAACAAATATATTTCATTTATATTGTTTTGTAGGTAGTATTCTTATTACAATTTATCTCCTAGGTTTCAATAGATTATTTTATTTCAGTGATGTTTTAGCTTAATTTCCAAAGTCAAAATTATTTCAATAAATAGCCTTTTATAGAGTTAAAGCACTCATTCTAGGTATATGGAATGAAGATTTTTAGTGGTAACGAACCTTACTCATAATTTCCTTCACACTTGAACTTTGTTTGATAATGGTAGTTTATACTTTATTGTTCAGTAGTTATATGACCTTGAGAATATTAATTATCAGGAGATGTACTGGGTTGTTTCAGCTAAAATGTTTGTCAATGAGACCAAAATGATTAAGTGTGACCAAGAAGGATGGATATGCCCTTATGAAGAAAAAAAAACTGTTTTGTCAACAGAATCTAATTTTTGCCTGCATTTCACTTACGCTTTTAAATTACTATTACGATTAACCATACTACGGAGCAACAAAGTTTTGTCAATGTATCAAATTTTGTCAAAAAAAGGCGTAGAATAGTCTTCAGCATTCACCAGTGAGCAACTTGTCATTGGATGGTTTAAGAAGACTTCTTAAATAGGCCTCGCCCTGGTTGTTGTACATTCACTTTAGATTTCTCGTCACGAATCTTTTATTAACCCCTGCTTCATTCTAAAATCGTGATTATTTCACTACTTGGTTTTAAGTTCTATTGTTAACTATGAATTTCCACTATTCTCTTTAATACTAATATTTAAAAAAGATAGTAGACCATTATTATTTCAAGATATGCCATATGATTTGATTTATCAAGGGCCACCCTTTATCAACGATCTCAAAACAAAGGAATGAAGCATTGAAAACTTTACTCACTAAACTTAATAATATTCTCACCCATATCTCCGATAAAATCGATATCTGGTGGATATCTTTATCAGTAATTCGGGAGCTAATGGAATATTATACATGAAATAAACATATTTGTTTTAACTTTAGATTTTGGTTTGAGTATAGCTTTAAACTATAATAATTTAGATTAATTAGTTGAAATACGTAATTATGTTGTGAGCCACTGAGGTTACAAGGGAAAAAAGTGACATGATAAATTTATGCTGCCAGTCGCATAAAGGTTTAATTCCTGAATTCATCACCGCAAAGGCACTAGACAATGATGATATGCTTGTATGCAAGATGATATACTGAATAACGTAACTGAATATGCTTCTTTACATACGCAGTGAGTGCGTGTGAAAATGCTCCACATTCCTCAATTTATTATCAGTTATGCATTTAGCTATTGATATGAAATTAAAGTAGTATACTACAAACTGTTGAATTTTATCATCGAGTAATATCGGGTAATAAGAATTCATGATAAAAAGGATTGAATTTTGCTACTTATGGGAACTATATTCGAAAATTCTCACCTTATTATTATTATTATGTCATTTATCACTGTGAAGATTAGGAGCTGTTCATCTATAAGTAGATGATTCTGCTTCATGCATATAAAAATTTAACCACACAATACACGAAACTACTTTTTCATAGAATGAAGTACAATTCATTAGTATGGGATAACAGAGTGGATTGCATTTTATGGTTTTAGGATAAGGTATGAAATATAAAAAAGTGTGCATGCATAGAAACCCATATTAAGTGTTCAAAGCTTGGCAAAATATGGTGGTCATTAAGTTATAGTGCAATTTATTTAAACAAAAGTGTATCATCATGCTATTTGGTCTCAGATATCTGTCAATTGAAAATTGAAACTTTTAAACTATTTGTAAGTTTTTTGCATTCTAATAGCAAGTTCTTACACTGAGCTATAAAATGCACTGAATTTATTGGAGGTAGGTCATTTTCCTGAGGCGCTATTGAAAACTCTTCAACTAACTACCTCAGATTAGAGGGGACCTACTTATAATGAACTTAATGTTAGTATAATTTATTGCTCACCAGAAGGATGAGTAAAGTAGAAAGTATTACAAGAGGAAGTATAAATAGAACTAGAATTAACGTTCTTTTTAGGCTTAGATAGTGTTACTGTATTTTTCTGTGTTTTATTTGTTCCGTTTACATAATAAACAAAGATAGATGAGAGTTTGACTTGTTACCTTATGGAAAGAAGTTTAAATGAGCATATTGTTTAGTACTATGGACTGTATTATACTCATTCATAAGATAAAATATAACACCTTTAAAAAGATATATGACACTAATAAAATGAGCATCCACTAAGAAGTTTAAGTTGCAAATTAAACTACGTTGTACAATCTTGAATCTATTTTAACCTGCTGTTGATAATTATTGTTATTATTTTTCCCTTGGGTTCCTAGTGAAACATACGGCTTCAGTAGCACATCTTCGTTGCACTCTGCTCTCTGTTGTCTTTTAAGTCTGGCTCTACCACTGCCCACAAGCTTTCATTTCTTCCTCTCACCATCTCCTCCATGTCACCCTCAGCTCAGACGCCCAACTCCTCGTTTCCAATCTGAGTTCCACTTGAGGGCCTGGAGCATGATGTCCCCAAATGGTCTTTTCAGCGTATCTCCAATCCAATCCATCTCCACTTCCTTTCGTATATTTGCAGAGTGATATGTTCTTGATTGGTTCGTTCCCAGAGTTCCTTGTTGCTTATTCTTTCTGGCCATCTATCTGATCTCCAGTAACGAGCCAGCGTAGGTGGCAGTTGTTGATGAATGTCTGTAGTTTGTTAGAAATCCCTTTCATAACGCACTAAGCCTGTGAACCATAAAAGAGTACTGACTTGATATTGGTGTTGAAAATCCGAATGTTGTTCACGCTTTGTACTAAGTGCAGTAAATCTCCACACTGATTTCAGATTAGTGAGAGAGCCTTCAATGTTCAATGTGCTCGTGATTATCGTCTGGGTGACAATATCAGAGTAGATTATTGACTCTCCAGCTAACAGTTTGGAGAGTTCACTTCATTTCATCTGCCTTCGCAGATTCCAAGCACTTCATTTCCATACCTCCTCATCTCTTCTGGAATCTGAGTAGCCTTGCTGGGTCCATACATGGTGCGGACATTCCATGTCCCTATGTTTACTTTCGATTTCATCGAGAGAAGCGAGGATACATCGGCCGACTGGCTTCGCGAAGGCTTTGACTAACTGGCGTCATTTCGTCTCTCTGATTTCGGCGAGGAATAAGTTTATTTTTTATTTTTATGTTTTCTTTGTGCTTTGAAGTTTCTTTAGCGATTCGATTGGTTTTACGGGGTAGGATTGCTAGCCCTATGCCCATCCTTCCCTCTTTATCCGGGCTTAGGATTGGCTAGTAACTAGTGAACTAGTTAACCAGGGGAGGTTGCTGTTGATAAACGTTTCTTAAATATTAATTCCACAAATTGGCATCCTTGAACAGTGAGTATTTCACGCTATGAATTCGTTTGCACCATAACATTTTTCTATGCTGTGTTAACTTTGTTTGATGGAAATCATTTGTAATAGAATGTATGAACCGAATACGAAGTGTGTATTCTTAGCAAGATTAAGAGATAACTGGTTAACAACACTGATAAATACGTATCAGAAATGATACGATAAAAATATTACTCCTCGAATAAATTTAACTACCGCTTCACTGCTTCATCAGATGTTGATTTCCATTTATTATTATTTTTCTTCTACTATTGATAAATTTTAGAAAAAAGACAAGAAAGAGAAGAAGGAGAAGAAAGAGAAGAAAGAAAAAGAAAAAGATGAGGAACCTGCAGCAGAAGAGAAAAAAGAGACAGCAAGCAGTGGTGGCGGTGGTGGTGGAGGCAAAAGAGCTCAAAGAGCTACATCAAATGTCTTTGGAATGTTTCCACAGAATCAAATACAAGAATTCAAAGAGGTATGCGATATTTATTAATTTGATAAATTATTACTAAAATATTTTAGGCATTTACACTTATTGATCAAAATCGTGATGGATTCATTGACATTGAAGATTTGAAGGATATGTATGCTTCACTAGGTAGATGGTTACTTTTGAAAATGGAATAATAATGATCATAACTTCTTCTAGGTCGTACACCAAGCGATAAGGAATTGAAGGAAATGTTAGAAGAATCACCAGGTCCATTGAATTTCACAATGTTTATTAATTTGTTTGGTGAAAAATTAAACGGTAAGTATATATGTATATATAATTTTATGATTTAAATTCAATGTTACAATAAAAATTGTAATTGTTAAATTTTTCATCATCTTCGTCATCAATATCAATATAGAACCAGGCATTACAGCGTAACGGACCGAGTTGCCACACCTTATATCAGTACATCAAGTAAAAAGGCAGTGAGGCGCAAGATGAAGATAAGAGAATGCAGTCAGAAGAAATATAAAGTACGAAAAGACAGAAACGAAGAATGAGAAAGTGGTGAGATTCGGTATAGCCTCGTTAAGATGAGGATAATGTGTGTATACATCTACGCCACTGACATCGGTTCTGAGCAATATCGTCACCTAGAGTCAGTCTCCAACCACTAGTTCTTCTTGTCCCATGGACACCAACCACCTAGTCTGCATCGCCTCCCTACATCGCTCAAGCAAACAGTCAGAGACTTCATATATTGGTGCCATGTTTTAGTCTGGCCACCTCGGGCCTTTCTCCAGCCTGGAACTACTTCAGCCGACTTTATGTGACAAGGCAATCGGCGACTAGGCATACATAACAAGTGTCACAACCACCTCAGACGATGAAGGTTCACAACCTCGTCAACTGACTTACCTCTTCTCCCCAAAACTCTACACCTGACTTCTGCGTTACTCAATTGGTGACACTGCAGAATACGGTGGCCTATACTATGAAGGGAAAGGTGGCCAAACACCCGAAGTCACGGCCATGTTTCACAGCCATACAGTAGAACACACCGGACTGCTTTGCAGTATATGCGACTCTTAGTAAACAATCGGATATCATGGCGGCACCACAAGTGGCGTAAGTTGGCGAAAGTCAATCGAGCCTTTTGTAACCGTGCAGAGGTTTCATCGGCAACTGACCCACCAGGACTGATCCGGCTTCCCAGATAAGTGGAGTGGTCAACACACTCAACCATTACATTCTCTATTGTTAGCCAAGGTGGGGCACCGTTGAAGACCAGACCTGGAGCAAAAATTTGCATTTGGGTGGTGAGAAACGCATCCCAAACATTCTCAAATTCCCACTCAAAGTGTTCAGAAGACTCTGCACCTTGTCAGCGTCTTCGTCTAATAGGACTATGTCATCTGCATATTCTAGGTTTAAAGAAAATTCTCCACCGATTAGGTCAACGTCTGTGTAACCTGGTGACGAAAGGGAGACCTCCACAAGAATATCTATGATAAAACTGAATAAGAATGGAGAGAGTGGGCACCCTTGACGGGCACCACTCGATGAGTACAGCTCATCTGACATCTCACCATAGGCTCTAACATGTCCGCAAGTGTTCGAGTAGACAGCTTTCAATTAAAGTGATGTACTTACTCGGCATGCCTTTTAGTGAGAGACATTGCCATAAGACTTCTCGATCAATGGAGTCAACTTTTACATCATAAATATTTGTTTTCATTTCAGGAACTGACCCTGAAGATGCACTACGTAATGCTTTCGCTATGTTCGATCCAGGGAATAAACGATACTTAGAAGAAGAATAGTAGGTGTTCAATAATTCATTTACATAAACCAAATTACTTTTAGTATCAAAGATCTTTTACAAAATATGGGTGATAATTTTAGTGCTGAAGAGGTAAGTGAATGTGAATAGTAAGAAATTTGTTTATCGAATAAGTTAGCGCATAATAATTTATCATTTAGAATTTTTTACAGAGAAATTATTTAGTGCATGTAGACTGTTTCATACTATACAGATGTTATGCAAAGAAAATCTTTGACTAGTTAGGTTAAGACACTATTATATGCAGATCTACAGGCTTATTATCAAGAATATTTGATTGAGACAGTGTGCATTTACTGTTTAACTTAAAGGAGTGATTAGATAACTCGAATTTGGAAGTTTGTAGGGATTTAGCGATGATCATGCTATGTCCTGAACTGACCGAAGTTGGAAATATTAACCAGTGGATTCTGACCCAGTGATTAATCGGTAACGTGATGACCACAAAACCTGAGGGTCCCGGATTCGACCCCTGATGCGGCCGGGTCATGGGTACGCACTGCTAAGGAGACCCATATTAGGACGAAACAGCTGTTCAGTGCTCCCAGGTTTCCAATGTTCCTCCCACTGATGCCAGTTCATGATGAATGCCAATTTGAAAGATTAGATAACCAGCATTGTTGAGAACATATTGTCTGTTTCACAATGCTAACACTAAGTTAAAACCTTTTGGATTTGTTCAATACTGTTTTCTATATTGAATTTCCTCATCAGATGGTTATCTCTTCATTCTTTAGATTATATTATTCAGCAGCAAATAATCGCTAACATTTTATAACTGTTTGTGCTCATCATATTTATATCCTTCTTGCGACTAGTTTTAATTTCTGACTTCCGTGAGCGCTTTTCTTGTTCTTCACTATTGAAAGGCGCAGTATTTTAAACCAGTGAACTTTTACACCACATATAATGTTAACTCACCCATCTAAGCTTAGAATGAAGTCTGGTGTGACCTTATATGACTTATCATTGTGTTGAAGAATCCAGTTGATTTTCCCCATCACATGTATCCACAGACGTTGTAGCTGTTTGTTTGTTAAGTAAACATTTAAACAAATGAAGAAGCTATTTAATATCAAAACGTTGTGTTATCATTATCATCATGGAAGGCCATACCTCTGAAATGTCCATTAGCCTCTGTTTTTAATAAACTTCATACTACATATCTTTGAATAAGGTTTTGAGGTGAAATACAGTGTGACTGACATTCTATCTTAAAATGACTATTATTAGATACATTGAACCAATTTTAATGTTGTTTAGTCGTGAGTGCTGACCTGCTTCAAATGATCTTCTTACAATATGGCCACCAAGCTAGAAGGCTCAGCGTCGCAGTGCACTTTGATGGATGTTGGCTGGTTGGAAGCAGTCTGCAGGAAGCGTTTGATCTAGATTTTGTGCTTGTTGGCATTCATCAGCAAGGCATAACTCCAACCTCGAGGGAAACGACGTACCCTGTAAGGTTCGAGCCCGTGCAACTCAGCGTTCTAGTCAGTGACGTTCCCACTGAGATATATGGGCCTTAACTGACCTCCTGATTAATATTAGGTTGCTGTCCACAGTAGGCTTTATGTCACTCCCCTTAAAATGCATCAAGCATTTTATTTTCATTACTTTAATGCATGTGTAAGTTAATTAGTGGCCATTTCATGACTGTAGTAACATACTTTTTGCTGGGAAGGGTTCCAAAAAGTGCTTAGTACAATGACAGCTAGTTTCAAGGAACTCACACCAAAGAATATTTCTAGCTTATGATAAAGATACACACTACTGAAGATCAGATGACCAGAAAGAATAAGCAACAAGGAACTCTCTCTGCAAATGAACCAACCAAGAACCCATCGGTCAACAAGTATGCAGAATGGGGAAGTGGAGATGGATTGGATTGGGCATACACTGAGAAGGCCGATGAGGGACGTCACGCACCAGGTCGTTGAGTGGAACCCAGATGGGAAACTGCGAGTTGAGCATCCGAGGGTAACATGGAGAAGATCGTGTGAGGAAGAAATGAGAGCTTCTGGCAGTCGTGGAGCTAGGTTCGAAAGATTCCAGAGAACAGAGTGGAATGGAGACGTGCTACTGAAGCCCTATGTTCCATTAGGAACCCAAGGGACAAATAATAGAAAGTGATACTAGTTGTATTTGACATTCCTTGAGCTTTAGACATTTGGTAGTGAACATTTCGTTATTATGTTTAAGAATGTAGAATTATATCTATGGGTGCCTATTTTGAAGAAAGTAGAGTTTTCTAAAACTATATATTTAAGTACTGTATATTTCATGTGGCAATACTCATATGGCTCTTACTTATGATATAGATCTTATATAAAATTTATTTGAGATAAACAGTAGCTAAGGTTTAATTTGATCGTTCGTTTCTTTCATACAGATAAGACAAACTTGGAAGGAAGCACCAATTAAACAAGGCAAACTAGACTACGATCAATTTGTAACCCTCATCAAGAGAGGTAATCAGGAGGATGGATAACTTACTCAACTGAAGAGAGGAAAATCTATAAAACTGACTAAGTCACCCTTTCATTTTTAATCCCTTTCCCATTTATTATAAAATTTTTAATGAAAACAGTTTTCCTCTCTATTTCTATACCATACTAAATACTACATGCTTTCCCGCCTTTTCTCTGTTTTAGTTTCAGTGATGTTGATATTTGTATGCTGAATTTCTTTTATTATCAGTGATAAAAATACTCCTGCCTCTTTTGATTGTGTTATACACCTTGATTATTTCATTTAGGAAGATAGTTTATTCGATATTTCTTGTTGAATGTATATGACAGGAGGTTTGTTTGACTATATTTCTGCTTATTTAAATCTTTCCAGTTTCTCTCACTTATTTCATTCCTTGAAGTGTTGTAGTTATTATTATTATTATAATCTTTAAAATCTATCTTGTAAGATGGGATAAATTTTAAAGACAAAGGCATCAGTAATATTAGGACAAAGGACAATCGCCTCTTAGTCTGTTATTGCTTCTGGTAGTCTGACATGAAAGTTTAGTCTATGGAAATCAGTTTGCCTGAACAGTTAACAAAACTATCCTGTCATTTGATTAGATTTATCAGACAAAGATATTTCAACTCTTCACACCTCTATTGTATCTATCTTTCTTATTTCTCCTCCTTTCATTCTATCTATCTATCTATCTATCTATCTATCTATCTATCTATCTTGAAATGTATGTTTGACAAAAAGAAACTTCGATTAAGCTTTGAAACCTTTCGTCTCCGATTCATGTATCAAGCATTTACTCAAAGGAGGGGACATTCCATACAAGTGTCCAAGTTTGTGTTTGTTTTATTAGTGATACAAAAAAAAAAAGCAGAAAAAAAAACAATAATCCTCACCGTACATATTTTCAGGTTGATCATTAATTTATCAACGGAAATATGAACACATCTCAAAATGGTTTATATTTTCTATTGACAAAAAGAGGCCTCATCTATTATATAATGTGAGTATGATTATAATAACTAATAATAAACAACACTAATCATTGGACAAAATAAAACGGAAAATTACTTTCTGTTGGAGATGAACAGCTTATTTCGTTGTGTTCTTCTCCATGAATTGAGCGTTGATCTTGAACGGTGATGATCCCAAAACAATTGAATATACACACTAATGAAGAAAGAGTATTTTCAATTTTGGGTCGTTTCACTGCTTTCGAAGTAATTTCTCTTTCATTTTAAAACAAAACAAACATAATATTTATCTATATACCTGTTTCTTATTTACATATCTATGTATGTTTGTCTGTATGTTTGAAATAATATCTTAGTTTTTCCTCTTTCATTATTCTTATTCTTTTTTCTTAAATAATATTTGTACACATGTCATTTTGTGAAATTGTTCTTGATTGCTTTTCTTTCGATTTTATGCTACAGAAATTTTAAATGCATTAAAACAAAAAAGAAAGAAATTAGTTCATATAATATGATCATAACAAATTTCGAATATTTCTGTGATCATGACTGTCTTATCATATTTTTAAGGATGATCATATTAGTTTTAATCTAACAAAATGCATTAAAAATTGAATTTTGAGGGAGTTGTGGAGATTTGGAAATGTTTCAAGTTGTTATTCATCGAAGACTGACATCAGTTGGAGGAACAAAGGAAACCTGGGAGCACTGGACAGCTGTCCCATCCTAGTATGGGACTCCTCAGCAGTGTGCACCCACGGCCCCACCAGCAGGGATCGAACCGGTGACATTCAGGTTCCGCGGCCAGCGCGTTACCATTGAGCCACTGGGTCACAATCCAATGCTCCATATTTCCAACTTCTGTTAGCTCACGATATGGCGCAACCGCCACCCAATTTCATCGTTGAGTGTCTGTTCTCACTACCATCAGGCTTTGACTCCACCAGTCACGACTTCTCATTGGAACTTCGGGAATACTTCTGCTGAGGAGTCCCATACTAGGATGGGACAGCTGTCCAGTGCTTCCAGGTTTCCTTTGTTCCTCTAACTGATGTCAGTCTACGATGAATAACAACTTAAAATATTTCCAAATCTCCACAACTCCCTCAAAATTTAATTGAACTAGTGGTCATTGGTGACCAGCTTCGAGAAGTATTCCCGAAGTTCCAATGAGAAGTCATGACCAGTAGAGTCAAAGCCTGATGGTCGTGACTACAGTTACTCAATGATGACATTGGGTGACGGTTGCGCTATATCTCATTAAAAAAATTATTTAACGTAAGAATTAATTTCGGTTACCTACAAATTTATGTAAAACAGTGTCATCAAGGGGAATAAAGAAATAGAACAGAAACCAGTTGGTTGAGTATGGTCATTAAATATTGGTTGTATTGTGTTCTCTGAGCTGGGTTGTTTAATCGTAAAGCTTTCATCGTCTTTGTAGACGAAATCATCAGCACTAACTTCAGTATGAAGTGAGCCGTCGATGTCTCTCCGTGAGTGATTTAGTAGCTTGACCTAACAAAGTGATTGGTCGTTTCTTTCGATTGTGGTGTCAGTGACTGTATGACACAATAATCAATGGAAACAACCAACCACAGACCACATCGTCAGAGCAAGGCACTAAATCACTCATGCAGAGATATGGATAGCTCACTTCATAGTGAAGTTAGTGCTGATGATGTCGTCTAGCAACGCGATGAAAGATTCACGATTAAATAACCTAGCTCGGAGAATACGATACAACCAAGACCATCCACCTTAGGTACAAATATTCTTCATTATTTCAAGGTCATTAAGTATCTTCTATCAGTTGACAAGAGGTTATGAGTCTACATTTTTAATTGTTGGCATTCATCTACAAGGTTCTCCTAAGGAAATAAGTTTTGCTTTTTGACTTCGAACATGTACTACTCAAGTCGAAGTTGATCGAATTGATAACAGTTCTTCAGGTTTATTCCAGCTTCGTGTAAGAATCGAATTTGTAAGTAAACTAGTATTTATAAAGCAACTTGTTCAGTATTATTGCTCTTGGTGCTTTAGGAAAGCTAGACGGAGGGAAACAACATGAGTGTCTCCGAAACTGTAGAAAGAAACAAAGTGAACTTCACTGTTGTAGTGCTTGGATTTCACTATCGAAAGATTTAACCAGCACTTGTAACATTAACACTACTCTGGTTGTTATTAACCAGCTAGTCCATATAATCTATAATATAATGTTCTTCATTAAAACAGTTTCTTAGCAGATTACAATATGTGGAACAGATTAATCTTTGAGTGATTTGCAAATGATTTAAGAATTGTACGGTCCACCTTGATACTTCTCACAGCTGAGTAGTTTGTTAACTGTCCAACTGTGCTGTCAACAGCCTTTTTGTTGGAAACCATTCAGTTATGACTCTAAGGCGTAATATCTGATACAAACGTATCATGAACTAGCAAAATATAAGAATAGAGAACAACTTGAATAGTTAGGAGCCACTTATAGCTGATGAGCTCGACTCTAGACGAGCGGAACAGTCACCAGAGGTTTAGATCACTCTGATCTGACTAACGAAATTTATAGATCAACCTGAATACTTTCGAACTAGTGAAGTTGTTCAGTAATAACACAATTTTTGAGTTTTTTTTTTGAAGAGTGTATAAGAGACCACTTTACGTAGTGACTCTTGTAGTGGACCCAAAGAATCTCAAGTAAACCAAAATATATGAAAAGTTATACGTTATAACGCAAACAGTATTGCCAATGTCATAGATAGTCACTGGTTACTTGGAGGTTATCTCTTCGCTTTTGTCCACCACAATTTTTGGATACTACAGAGATCACAAAGTGATATTTGTTGACTCTCCTCAGTGGTTGTTGGTTGCCTTGATTGTCGTAATATTTGGAAGTAGGATGAGAGGTCCTGTAAAAATCCCAAGACAATCAGTTAGTATGCACGACAGGTAATAGTCGTGGAGTCAGAAGCCGGGACGGTTAGAAGCACATTCTGTTTCCATGATTAGCAACAGCAAAAGCTGTAATTACCACCACAACCAAAAAGTGTATGTATATAAACAACATTTGTTTTTACAAGTATTAGGAATAAAGTACAGAATGTGTAAAAACGAAACGATGAAAAGGAAATACTGCTTTTAGTTGAAATGGTTTATACACAATGTTATGCAGTCTCCATATTCTAGAGGTAAGGTACTCAACAACACAACAATTCTATGCAACAGTTTTTTCTAGTACTTTATCTTATGTGAATCCATCCAACAGAAGACAACTAACAGCCTATATATCTCCTTGATAATACTGCATACTTCAGTGTGAATTCTACGGAGATTTACACATTTATTAATTCTACCACCACTAGATGACATTTCTTCTAATGTTTATTTCTTTGTACTACAACTATTTCTGATGTTATAAATCTGTATTGCTGGGAACGGTGACACTTGAAGAGTGAGAAATGCTTGAACTTAGATATTCACCTAGATTACATGATAATTTGGATAATTAATGATTCCTGAAATCGTTGAAATGAGTCCTTGTTGGCCAATGAAGTTATGAACATAAGAAATGCTGTTAAAATAGACGCTTATCTGGCGAAACATCGAATTATACAGATATATCAAACATATCGGCTACTTGTAACAGAAACATCGAACATTGCTTGACTTTGATGCTATCTTAGTGTGAAAAAAGAAGGGTGAATGGAAAAGATCTAAACTCATGTGAATGTACTGTAAAGTGAAAACGTCAAGTTTAGGCTCTTTAAATGAAATAATTTCTAGAGATTGTAGATTATGACTTGTGTTAAACAGATTACTTCCTCACATGTAAAAGTAGACTGTTTAACGTCTAATATCATAAGGTTTTTGTTCCTAAACTCTCCTGCCACATGGAATTTTTCTTCGAACTTATAAGTGTATTTCCATTTGTTGAGCAGGCTGTTCCGAATTCATAAAATTATGAGACTTAATTCATTTTGAAGTGTTCAGTCAAAAGTAATCATGTAATATTTTGATACTAAACTTTTCTCCTTTCTTGAAAATGTGT